TTATCAATAAAACTGTTAAAAATGATTCATTCGGATACTATCAGAATGTGAATACTGATACTACAACTAAAATCACCGTTGGTCATCTGGTCCAGGCAAGATGTCAAAAGGTCCAGCAGTGGGTATTGATTTGGGCACCACCTACTCCTGTGTGGGAATCTTCCAGCATGGTAAGGTGGAGATCATCGCCAATGACCAGGGGAACAGAACAACCCCCAGCTATGTCGCTTTCACAGACACTGAAAGACTGATCGGAGATGCAGCCAAGAACCAAGTAGCCATGAACCCCAACAACACGGTGTTTGGTAAGGCAGTTCATATTTTTTCTTGGAGAAAATAATGAAAGATTGACATTAACACTTGTTTATGATACTGTTCGCCATTAGATGGCAGTGTAGTTAATTTAATTGTAATACTAAAAGTCAAGTGAGACTATCTCTACCTTATTGGTTCAACAGATGCCAAGCGCTTGATTGGTCGACGCTTTGATGACCCCGTGGTTCAGTCTGACATGAAGTACTGGCCCTTTAAGGTAATCAATGATGGTAGTAAGCCCAAGATGGAAGTGGAGTACAAAGGAGAGATAAAGTCCTTCTTCCCTGAAGAGGTGTCCTCTATGGTCCTCACTAAGATGAAGGAGATCTCTGAGGCTTACCTGGGCAAGGTGAATAAAACTATGCAAAAGCACTGTAAATAAGCACTTTTAAATACTTTACATTTATTTTTAGGACCCTTTCAGGCCCATTTGTTTTACATAAAACGTGCATTCAAGCATACAGGAAATAGAACACATATCTTCCTTTAGATCACATAGTCATTAACTTTGCAAGAAAAAGTGTGATGTGAGTTCAGAATGAGGATGTGATAGAATACTGGAAATACTGAAATTATTGTGTACTCTGTTTATTAAAGGGGTCATATGATGCGATTTCATTTTTTCCTTTATTCGGCCAACCACAACGCACTGGATAGCCGGCCAATCAGAGCACACCTTGCTTTTTCAGACCGATGAGTTTTGTAAAAAAATACGGCGGTCTAAATATATATATTTAGGCCGCCGTATTTGTTTGCACTACAACATTTGAAGCCTTTCTCTGAACTTTGACAAATGCAAACTGAAAAGAGTTGTGCGTAATTTATAATGGATATAAAGCCTTTATCACATACTGTGGTAGGCTAACACTTGCCAAACCAAAACCGAGAAACACACGTACTGTGGTGAACACTAACATTTCTCTGGAGCACAAGTTCAAAGTTCTGCAAACAGCTTCACACATCTTATCTTTTAGTGATGCCTGCAGTAAAATGTGGTTTTTAAAATTCACCACAGATTAATATCTGATTCTGTAACACACGTTTCATGTTCAAAAATCTCTAATACACACTGAAGTTTGTTTTGTGCACGTTATGTGTAGAATTATACCTCCACTTTGTACGAGAGATATTTGGAGATAACAACGGTTACAGGAAGTATGTGAACTTGATTTCAATCGTTAGTGTCAGCAAGACTCTTGTTTAACTGTACTGCTTCCAAACTTGCGTCTTTTACAAGAAATGTTCCTGAAAGCATGTATTGTTTCTTCATGAGCAAAATTTTTTTTGAACAAAAGAACAGTAATCATAATTAATGCAAAGACTCTTTCATTAATAATCACAAAAATACTCCACTAAAAACTTGTTTGAACACTTTATATATGCTAAACAGGATCATGCTAATGAGGATTTGATCTTGTTGTTTCAGCCAGTGTCAAATGCAGTCATTACAGTGCCTGCTTACTTTAATGACTCTCAGCGCCAAGCCACCAAGGACGCTGGAACCATTGCTGGCCTTAACGTCCTCCGCATTATCAACGAGCCAACGGCCGCTGCCATCGCATATGGATTGGACAAAAAGGTTTAGAGATATCCTAAGATATATTTTACCTAGTTCAGTGGTTTATATAGGAATAGTTAAATATATGAGGTTGCTAAACTGGCTTGTAATGATGGTTCAATTAAGTTGCATCTAGTTTTTGTTGTCCAGCATCTCAGATTAACTTTCAGCACAGTAAGGTTTAAAGGGTTAAACTGCTGCTTTATGGTCACAATTCACTACAGGTTGGTGCTGAGCGCAATGTCCTCATCTTCGATTTGGGTGGCGGCACCTTTGACGTGTCTATCCTAACAATTGAGGATGGCATTTTTGAAGTCAAAGCTACTGCCGGAGACACCCATCTGGGTGGTGAAGACTTCGACAACCGAATGGTCAACCACTTCATTGCAGAGTTCAAACGCAAGTTCAAGAAAGACATCACTGGCAATAAACGTGCAGTCCGTCGCCTGCGGACAGCATGTGAGCGCGCCAAGCGCACCCTTTCCTCCAGTACGCAGGCCAGCATTGAGATCGACTCTCTGTATGAAGGTGCCGACTTCTACACTTCCATCACCAGAGCACGTTTTGAGGAGCTTAATGCCGACCTTTTCCGTGGTACACTGGAGCCGGTGGAAAAGTCTCTGCGGGATGCCAAGATGGACAAGGCGCAGATCCATGACATTGTGCTGGTTGGTGGCTCCACTCGCATTCCCAAAATCCAAAAGCTGCTTCAGGACTTCTTTAACGGCCGGGATCTTAACAAAAGCATCAACCCTGATGAAGCAGTAGCTTATGGAGCAGGTAAGAGTAGGGTGACCATACGTGCCATTTTCCCAGGCACGTATGGTCACCCTAGGTAAGAGGTTTAATTTCCACTCTACGTGGATTAGTAATTGCTTTTGCTTTATGACATACTAATCTTTCCTCAAATTTCACCAGCTGTCCAGGCAGCCATCTTAGCAGGTGATAAATCAGAGAACGTCCAAGACCTTTTGCTGCTGGATGTCACTCCTCTCTCTCTGGGCATTGAGACAGCTGGTGGTGTCATGACTGTGTTAATTAAGAGGAACACCACCATTCCCACCAAGCAAACCCAGACTTTCACCACCTACTCGGACAACCAGCCTGGTGTACTGATCCAGGTAAATGAAAGTTGTTGTTATAGACCCATACTTTCCTGGTCTTCTTCCCCTGCTTCTCAGACCAGCTTGAATTTCCATTTCTAAGCTGGGTTGGTGCACGTCTAGCTGGTGGACCATTATATAGTCATGTTGTTCACCAGTAAAAAATAATAATGAATGAATGGAACTGCTTGACCAAGAAAGGCTTGTTGAAGGTCTGCAAGGAAAGCTTGTTAAGCCTGGTAGGGGCACCAAAAAAAACGGTGTCCAAAACACCACATATGCTGGTAACGACCAATGCTGGACTATTCAGGAATGTATTTGAAACAACTGAGATGTTGATAGAAATTCACCCAGAAACTCTTAAGGCATTTCAGCTAATTGGAGGCTGATTTAATGATCCTGTTTTTCTTACCCTTAGGTATATGAGGGAGAGAGAGCAATGACGAAGGATAACAACCTTCTTGGCAAATTTGAGTTGATTGGCATCCCTCCTGCTCCTCGTGGTGTGCCACAAATTGAAGTTACATTCGACATTGATGCCAATGGCATTCTCAATGTGTCCGCAGTGGACAAAAGCACTGGCAAAGAGAACAAGATCACTATCACCAATGACAAAGGTAAAATAACTTGCCCTGACTTTGAATAAAGAGTTGACTTTATACTTATCGACTTGATTCTGAAGATCAAAAATGGTCTCTGTTTTTCATAGTGAGTTTCTCACTAATCTTTACTTTTAGGTCGTTTGAGCAAGGAAGAAATTGAACGTATGGTACAGGAAGCTGACCAATACAGATCAGAGGACGAAGCCCAGAAGGAGAAGGTCACTGCCAAGAACACTTTGGAGTCGCTGGCCTTTAACATGAAGAGCACTGTGGAGGATGACAAGCTGAAGGACAAGATCAGTGCAGAGGACAAAAAAAATATTATTGACAAATGCAATGAGGTCATAGCCTGGTTGGACAGAAACCAGGTAGGTAACAACCGTAAACTGCATTTACTTGCATGCCAATCTACAGGTTACACTTGTTTATTGAATTAAGACTATCCCTTTCAGGTATGGTTATGACATTGAAGAAATTGTATTTAATATTCTTACCTTGAGGTAGTCAAACCAGATTATGTAGCCATGCAGAGTGTTTCACCCAAAAACAAAGAGATCATTAAGCCAGTGTTTTCCAACCCTGTTCCTGGAGGCACACCAACAGTACACATGTGGCATGTCTGTTTTATCTGACCCATCTATTTCTGGTCTTGGAGTCTCTACTAATGAGCTGAGTTGAATCAGGTGTGTTGAATTAGGAAAAGTTGGAAAATACTGTTGGTATGCCTCCAGGAAAAGGGATGGCAAACACTGGATTAAGCAATGAGCCACCTCAAAGAACAAAGAGCATCTTCCAAGACAGTTCTTCTTATGTCTTGTGCCACAGACTGCAGAAAAGGATGAGTATGAGCACCAACAGAAGGAGCTGGAAAAAGTGTGCAACCCCATCATCACCAAGCTCTATCAGGGAGCTGGTGGCATGCCAGGTGGAATGCCGGGTGGAATGCCTGGGGGCTTTACTGGAGGGGCAGGAAGTGGTTCCTCCTCTGGCCCTACCATTGAGGAAGTGGACTAAACTTGACACCAGAACATTTATGCTCACATATATACAGAAACCAATGCAAAATTTGATTTATGTCAACTTGCTGCATTTCAAACAGGCTTTTTAATCAACGCACATTGGTCAGATGTGCCAGATGAGACCAACTTGTGCTTTTGACCAAAGCAATATGGCACTTACGAAACAGCATTAGCATATGAACTTAGCATCATGTTTCCAGATCTGTAATTCTATCAGTAAGCTATTATTTAATGGTTACAAGGTTAGCCATGCTATAATTACAGCTTAACAATACCTAGCTGAGGTGAGGCCTTGTAACTTGTTCAGTTAGCTGTTATACTCATTATTCATTATTCATTATTCAGTGTTTCCTGTATGACTCAAATAAAAATAAAGCATAGTATTTACTCAATATCTTGACTCATGTTTTCTCATTTCTCATTTCATGCTAGAAGGAATGTAAAGGTCTGTTAGAAATTTTCAGAACATTTCAGAACAGCCTGCTTTATATGCAACACTCTAATACCTGCAGTTGAATGCATTCATGGAGAAAGAAAGGTAATTAGAAAGAAAAAGTGTTTGTTTTCACAGAAAGGTAGGCGATATCCCTTTTGTTTTTGTTTTTGGCTGACCCACCTATTACAGTCTGGCACGTGAGGAAAAGAATAATGGCATTTTTTTATTGTTCTACTCATATGACAAATGCAAACATTCCTGAGCTCCTCCTAACTGCACGGAAGCACCTGTATGAATTGCGAAATTTAACAGATGCTAGAGAGAATATAAAGCATGGAGAGAGACCTAATGGGAACAACAGCAACACATTAGGTGCTTGTGTACAACATGATCTGGATCATTAGCTTCTTGGCTTTGGTTGCTTCCACTCTGGGTGAGTTTTTATGAGAATAAATATCCGTGTGTGTGTGTGTGTTTTATCGTATATGTTATTGTGATACTTTTCTCATTTGTTTTTTTATGAACTATGGTAATAGGATGTGGGGTGCGTCAAATGGAGCGTCACCTGGCAGGTGAAATTGACAAAAGATCTATAAGTGCTGCTCGAGCTCTATCAAGTGTTAGGGATCTGCCAAATGTACCAAATGTAGTTGGGGGAGGTCCTGCAGGTATTATTCATGGAAACGAGGCACACTCTTGGCCCTGGCAGGTCTCTATCCAGGTAGTGTTATAAGTTTAAAGACACAATATTTGTTTATAATAGTGGTGATGGGCCTCATTCTCTGCATAACGATGAACTCATGAAATTCTTTATATTTGATCCAGACATCCAGAGGTCAGCAATTCTGTGGTGGTACCCTGATCAGCAAAAACTGGATCCTCACTGCTGCCCACTGTTCAGTTCAGTAAGAACTATCTATCTATCTATCTATCTATCTATCTATCTATCCATTTCATCCATGTATTTAAGGTTTTAGACTTTTCTTTCTAGGCCTAGAAATGACTATGTGGTCCTTGGACAGTATGACCGTGGTTCCAATAATGAAGATATTCAAGTCAAGAAAATTTCCAAGGTATCATCTTCATTGGGGAAGTTTTTTTTTTTTTTCATGTTTTTGACAGAAGTCTCTTCAAAGCTACATTTATTTAATCAAATAAAAACAGTAATTTTGTGAAATATTATTTCAATTTAAAATAACCGTTTTCTATTTTAATATATTTTAAAGTCTAAATGATTCCTGTGATGGCAAAGATGACTTTTCAGCAGCCATTACTCCAGTCTTCAGTGTTACATGATCCTTGATCCATGATCCAGAAATCATTCTAACATTTTTTATTATCAGTGTTGAAAAACAATTGTGCTACTTAATATTTTTTTTCTGGAAACTGTGATGCATTTTTTCATAATTCATTGATGAATAGAAAGTTCAAAATAACAGCATTTATTCAAAACAAAAACCTTTTGTAACAGTATTATTGTCTTTACTGTCACTTTTGTGTGTATTTGAGTGTATTAATTTATTCAAAGTATTTGAATAAATTAATTAATACAAAAAAAATCTTGCTCATTTCACTTACAGGTCATCACCCATCCTGACTACAAAAAACAGACCAAGTACAACAATGATGTTGCACTACTGAAATTGTCCAGTCCAGTACAGATGACGTCCCGTATCTCTCCTATATGTCTGTCGAGCTCCTTAACCAGCATCCGCCCTGGGACTCTTTGTGTCACCACTGGCTGGGGCGCAACTGAAACTGTCTGTAAGTCTGCAATTCTTATTACCTACATACAACAGAACACTTTCAATACCTATAACTCCTGGATTTACTAGATAAACTGCTCAACCATTCAGACACTTATTATCTCACATTATTCTTTTGCTTTTAGCAAATCCTCGAATTCTGCAGGAGGCCACTGTGCCAATAGTGAGTCAAGCTCAGTGTAGGCAGTTTTGGCATAGGATCAGTATAACAGATGCCATGATCTGTGCTGGAGCCTCTGGAGCCTCATCTTGTCAGGTATAAAGATATTACACACAAGCTTTTAATAAAAAAAACAATCAAACTAAATTAATTAAAATATGTGGAATAGCAGCTCAAAGACAGTATAAAAGGGTCCAAACTCACAATGTTGATCACTGATGTCTGTGTGTCCACTGCAGGGTGATTCTGGTGGTCCTCTGATGTGTGAGAGTTCAGGTGTTTGGTACCAAGTGGGCATCGTTTCCTGGGGCCACGAATCCTGCAGCACTGACCGTCCAGTAGTCTACACCCGTGTCTCTTACTTTCGCCAATGGATCAATGAAATTATTAGATTCAGCTAGAGCACCAGCTTAAGTCTCATGCCTCACAGTTTTTTTTTTTTTTTGTCTGAATATTTATTCATTAGTCCAGTGATAAAATTGTGTCTTCATAACACTGTTACTGCTATGAAAATAACTCATGACATAATGCCAACAGAATTATTAAAAGCACTTTATAACTTATTTATCCACAATGTTTCATTTTAATTACCTATTGATTGTGCTGAACTTATGTATGCATACATACTTATGGCTGAATAAATATTAAATAAAGCATTTTGGGTTTTCCTGGTATGCCTTGACTGTTTGGTACAATGCACTAGCACACTCATTTGGGTTCACTGGAAGAAATCAAACTAAGTGGCATCTGCAAACAAATGGTGCTAGACTTTTCACCATTTTGGAATGACTTGAATGATTTTTAGTAGATGTATAACATCGGTTCCCTAATCTAGTGCTAGGTTTTATGTTAAAAGTACATCGTGTGTTAAATTAATTTCTCAGGATCAAATCCAACTAAAACTTGTTAAGTCTAAAAGAGCTTGTTAAGTCGTGTGTTTATGCACTTCTGTACATTTCCAGTGCTTTTTGAAAAGCTATTCATATGTTTGCATTGATTGAGAAAAGACATTATATACTTGTCTGCTTGCTGTGTTGTCCTTGTATGTAGAGCATGATCATGGTTCCAATACAAAACCTGTGCAGATTATGTGTATTCCCATGGTGTCAGCGTTAAAGTGAGTAACACTTCGTAACCTAGACATTTTCCTAGAATCCACAGTGTCAGTGGTTAAACATCTTTTCACATTGTTTTATGGTGTTAAACAACCACAAAACATCCTGCACAATAAACAAAAAGCATTTAAAAATGATTTAGCATATAAGAAAGGAGGAAAGATCTTAAATCTTTTTTTTTTTTTTTTTTTTTGAATATTTTTATATATATTGTATTTTATATATATATATATATATATATAATACACTGCTATATATACTGTATGTATATTTATTTATTTTTTTTTATTATTTTTTTTTAAATCAGAGGACTTTCTGAGGTTCAGAATACATTATTATAATCAAACTAAAAAGTGATCAAGAACTGATTAATAACCCATAATTGCATGTTTTTGCATGTACTTGTATAGGTTGTGGAGTGCCTGCCATTAAGCCAGTAATCAGCGGCTACAACAAAATTGTTAATGGAGAGAATGCAGTGTCTGGTTCCTGGCCCTGGCAGGTCTCTCTCCAGGTAACTGTTATTAGTTTTAATTATACTTTTTAAGGTTCTTTATAATTTAATATGTATAAGTTGAGATGCATGTAAAATTTAATATTACCAACAATGTGTTCATCATACCCAAAGTTATATCATTAATATTTAATAATGCATGAACCAGCAATCCAATGGCTTCCATTTCTGCGGAGGATCCCTGATCAACCAGTACTGGGTGGTCACTGCTGCCCACTGTGGGGTCAGGTAAGAATGTTTGATACGGTTTTACTTCATTAACATACTCTGCCTGATTCTTTAACGTGCTTCTATTTTCAACTTTTCCTGTTTATTCCTCCTACCCTAGGGCTGGATATCACTATGTTATTCTTGGAGAGCATGACCGCGGCTCCAGCGCTGAGCCCGTTCAAGTCATGAGTATCGCCAAGGTATAAGCTTTAATGATATCAGCTCAGCATCCCTTTACTTTGAGTCACTGTCTGCTGATAACATTGCTGTGGTTTTATGATATCTTTGGCATTACCTCAAGAGCCACAGGGTTTTGTCATTCTGCCTCAGTTAAAAATATCGCTTGCTTACTTCTCAGAACCAGCAGACATGATGGGATCTTACAAATACTTGCGTCAAACAGACTCCTTAAGCCATTGCGTCATGTCTTAGATTTTTTATGTTTCTGTAAATGTCCTTTAAGATTGTAAGTAATTGTCCCTATACTGCCTGACAGATATCACTTAAGTCTCTATGAAAAAAAAAAAAGCGAGGTTTTAGTTAATAAGAAAACTTTAAAGGCCATTGTGTCTATATGTTTGAGCTCACTAATATTTTGGGTTTATTAGATTTGTATAACAATTATAGTAGCATTCAAAAGTTTGGGGTCAGTAAAATGAATATTTTTACTCAGCAGTTGATTAAAAGTGACAGTAAAGATATTTATAATGTTACAAAATATTTTATTTTAAATAAATGCCATTCTTTTGAACTTTCTATTCATCGTAGAATAATTTTTCACAAAAAATATTAAGTAGCACAACTGTTTTCAACATTGATAATAAGAAGAAATGTTACTTGAGCAGCAAATCAATTCAATTCAATTCAATTCAAGTTTATTTGTATAGCGCTTTTCACAATACAAATCGTTGCAAAGCAACTTTACAGCCAATTAAGTTTCTACAATATTTAGTGGTAGCTTATCAGTGGTGACTGTCAGTTAATGTACATACGGCAGAAATGTACGAAGGAAGGTTATTCCAGAGTTTGGGAACCAAATGCGAAAAAGCTCTGCCTCCTTTAGTGGACTTTGCTATCCTAGGTACTACCAAAAGTCCAGAGTTTTGCGACCTTAGGGAGCGTGATGGATTGTAGCGTGGTAGAAGACTAGTTAGGTACGCAGGAGCTAACCAATTAAGGGCCTTATAGGCAAGTAATAACAACTTTTTCAAAAATTTTAGACATAAAAGGAAGATTTGAAATGGGTCTGTAATTTGCCAGTTCACTAGGATCTAGTTGTGGTTTCTTAATAAGAGGCTTAATAACCGCCAGCTTGAATGGTTTTGGGACGTGACCTAAAGATAACGACGAGTTATCTCGGTTCTTCTGCTACAGGTAACAACTCTTTCAGTAATTTAGTCGGTACAGGATCTGTTGGTTTAGATGCAGTGATAAGTTTATTTAGCTCTTCCTGTCCTATAATTGTAAAGCACTGAAGTTTATCTTTTGGTGCGATGAATGAAGCTGAAGTATTATACGCTGTAGAATCTACATTTGTTATTGTATTTCTGATGTTATCTATTTTATCAGTGAAGAAATTCATAAAGTCATTACTATTAAACTGTGAGGGAATATTTAGATCGGGTGGCGTCTGGTTATTTGTTAATCTAGCCACTGTGCTAAATAAAAACCTTGGATTGTTTTGGTTATTTTCTATGAGTTTATGGATATGCTCGGCCCTGGCAGCTTTAAGAGCCTGTCTATAGCTGGACATACTGTTTTTCCACGCAATTCTAAAAACTTCCAAGTTAGTTTTTCTCCATTTGCACTCAAGACTACGAGTTTCTTTCTTGAGAGAATGGGTATTACTGTTGTACCATGGCGCAGTACGTTTTTCTCTAACCAAATCAGCATATTAGAATGATTTATGAAGGATCATGTGACACTGAAGACTGGAGTAATGATGCTGAAAATTCAGCTTTGTCATCACAGGAATGAATTACATTTTAAAATATATTACAATAGAACATAGTTATTTTAAATTGTAATAATATTTCCCGATATTACTGTTTTACTGTATTTCTGATCAAATAAATGCAGCCTTGGTGAGCATTAGAGATTTATATTTAAAAATCTTACCAACTCCGAAATTTTGAACATTAAGAAACAACCCTACTGAACAGCTTGTCTATCTTTTCCTCAAAACCTTTAAATATAATATTTAATCATCAAATTAAACAGACCATCTACTATGACTAAAACCTATGAAGTAACAGTCAATCTTCCTCCCACCGTAGGCTATCACCCACCCTTACTACAATGGGAATACCTTCAACAATGACATCACTCTGCTGAAACTGTCCTCTCCAGCCCAGCTGACGTCCCGTATCTCTCCTGTGTGTCTGGCTTCCTCCAACGCCAGCATCCCCTCTGGCACTCTTTGCGTCACCACTGGATGGGGCAGAACTGGAACCACCTGTAAATTCATCATCATCATCATTCAAAACATTCAAATGACTTCTAAAATGACACAAAGTGGTTTGATTTTCTTCGGTTTGCTTTGTTTTTACAGCAAGTCCTAATATCCTGCAGCAGACCGCGCTGCCCCTTATGAGTCCTGCTCAGTGCAAGCAATACTGGGGTCAGAGCAGAATCACAGATGCTATGATCTGCGCTGGAGCCTCCGGTGTCTCCTCTTGCCAGGTATGTGAAGACAGATACCTTTATATTTTTATGCATATATACAGTGATTATTTAGTCCTGATGTGTCTATGGGTTCGTCTGTCAACTACAGGGTGATTCTGGTGGTCCTCTGGTGTGTGAGAGCACAGGTGTTTGGTATCAGGTGGGCATCGTGTCCTGGGGCAGCACCGACTGCAATGTTCGCGCCCCAGCCGTCTACGCCCGCGTGTCTTATCTCCGCCAATGGATTGACCAGACTGTCGCCTACAACTAGAGTTTCGACTCTCTGAACATAATGCCAATAAAAATACTAAAAGAAAACACACACACATTCTAAAGATGTTTAATGACTCAAGCAATTAAAATAAAACAGTTTAAAGGTGTTATATATGTATGAGTTAATGTAAAAAAAAATTATAGTAACATGTGGTTATGGTGATGTAAGACCGTTTCCAGGAACCATGACCAAAACAAAAAGTGTTGTTAACAGACAGGGTAATAAACAACTAAAACTGGCATTGATTAAATGACAGAAAATGCATGCAATTGATAACGATATACATTACTCTTCAAAAGTTTGGGGTCGGCAAGGTTTTAATGTTTTTGAAAGAAGTCTTAAGGCTGCATTTATTTGATAAAAAAAAACTGTGATCATTTGAAATATTAGAATAATGTAAAATAATGTTTTTCTATTTTAGTTTATTTTAAAATATAATTTATTCCTGTGATGGCAAAGCTGAATTTTTAGCATCATTACTCCAGTCTTCAGTGTCACGTCATCCTTCATAAATCATTCTAATATGCTGAATTGCTGCTCAAGAAACATTTCTTATCATTATCAGTGTTGAACGGTTTGCTTGATATTTTCATGGATTTCAATCATTTTGCAATGATTGTGGTTCCAGTTCTGTCTGATTTACTGCTAAGGTATCAGTTCTAAAGTGATCTTCATAAATAGGTGTTTAAACTTCTTTACATTTTAGGAGTCACTGCCGGCCAACTGCGTTTCTGTTGTTACGTGATATTTTAACCATAAGTTCTGAGACCACAGGACTGTGCAGAAAACAAATGTCACACTGATAAGAGGAACATGCCTATATATATATTTATTTATTTATTTTCTCTCTACATAGCTTCCCTTTTGATT